ACCGGGCCGATGGCGCACAACGGCCTGCCCCAAACCCAGGAGAAGGCAACACCTCAAGGCCAGGAAGCCGAGTGGGCCAATAGTTCACGGAAGCAGCCGCAAACCCAGGACGGGACATGTAGCGCTCTAAGGCGTACCTCAAACCCAGAAGGTCGTGACAACCAAGCCCCACGAAAAACCCAGCAGGAAACGAAACATTGGGGGCCAATAGCGCGCAAATGAGCGCACCAGAACAACCACAGCAGAGACAACATCAGGAGTGCAGGAAATGGACACGGCACCAAGACCATTGCCTAGAAGAGAACAGGAATGGAGGAGAGGGGCCACTAATGCGAGCCCCATGGCCAGAGAACACAAAGGAAAATGACAAACGCAACAGCACGAGAAGGCGGCCGAGGAAGCAAGGGAAGCGAAGGAGACGAGAAAGGAGTTGCATTGTCGCTCCAGCGCAGGGCAAAATAGGGGCAGGGAGGCCGGGGTGCTCATCGGGTCACACGACCCTTAGTGCAGCCCCCGGGGTCCCCGACCTCCCTGAAGGATCCCCGCCCCAGAAGAAGCGCTAGACCCGGGGGGGCAGAATTATCCCAATTCAACCCCAATATAAATACATACCCTATGATACTATAGCAGTTTCCGTTTTCTTTTCCATTATCCCAATATATCCCCAATATAACCTCTATCTTAGCCTTAGACCCCAGACAATAACTGTCCATACCTTAACCCTCAATTCAACCTATGCCAACAATGAACCCCTTACGTCTCTGTTAGCGTATGGGTGAACCTAATCCACAACGTTGGCATTAGGGCACCCACCTCTGAACACTAGAAATCTAGGAACCAACCTCGAACTCCCAAACATCCATGACTCCCCCTTACTTGAAGACTCCTTGACAAATAGGAGAGCCGCGCACATGGTACAATTAGAGGACGCAGAGCCCCGCTCATAATCACTACCAAGCAACGCTCAGAACCCTAACCCGGATACCCTACGCTGCCCTGAACCCGAAGCCCTAGACCAGAAGCCTCCAGGAGGTGGCAAGGAAGCAGAAGTCCGGAAGTTGCCGCCCCGGAGCTTAAGGATAAGCTCCAGCCTCTGGCTTTTCGGTTTGCGGTATAGGTTTAGAGTTCAAGGTCAATGAGTGCAGAATTTATGTGAAGGAGTTGGGCTGCGAGGTTTCCTACTTCTACCCTATTACTACTACTTCTGCTGCAATTACTTCTGCTGCTACTACTACTACTGCTGCTACTACTAGTAGCATCATCACGGACGACAACGACCGCCACCGCCACCACCACAACCAGCACCACGACTCCTGGTACTACTTTTCATTGTTATGTTTCCTCGTGCACTTCTTCTACCCCTAACACTACTTCGTGTTCGTTCAACTCCTCCTTCTTCTAGTACTACACTACTGCGCTGTAACACTACTATGCTACTACACTGCTAGGCTACTATGCTACTGCACAAACGGACTTGCTACTGCACCACTGCACGATTGTTGTTCTACACTGCTGCACTCCTACACGGCTATGCTGCCAACCTGCTACGCCAGTACAACACTACATTGCATCATTCACTATCAGCACTCTTCTTTTTACTCGAACCATGTCCAAAACTCTTTGCTACTGGCACCTACCACCACTAATGCCACCACGACAACTATTGCCGGTCATTCTCCTCATCTTGCAAAACTCCTGCTCCTGCTCCTGCTCCTGCTACTGCTACTGCTACTGCTACTGCTACTGCTACTGCTACTACTACTACTACTACTACTAATGCTACTAATATTACTACTACTCCTACTAACGACGAGGAAGACGAAGAATTCTACTGCTGCTGCTGCTATGACTACTTACTAACCTGGCAAAAGCCAAACCTGAACCTAAAAACCCAAACTTCTGAGCTGTGGACCAGTCCGTGTTCCGCACAGTCTTGACCATGGCCTGCTGCTCGTCAAAGAGTTCCTTGCACAGCTCAAAGCACTCAGGGCTGAGGACAACCCTCGGGTATCTGGCCTGGACGAAGCCGTTTGGTTTGTGTTTGAACCATTTCCATGCTCCTGGAGACACCTCGATGGATGGAATTCGAAAGAGTAGCAACTACACAAAATCTGCACTTGCGGTTCCACACAAACTTCCTATCTGAGGCTGGGCCATTGATTCTTGCTTGGAAAGGCTGTGATGCATGAGTTATGGGTTTGGGTGTATGTTTGCATATAAGAGGTCTCAGGAGTTTTGGCGAGCGTGTGTCTGTGTATGTGGGGTGTGCATTTAAGGGGGCCATGAAGGCGGAATCTTTTTCGTAAGCAACCCGGAGCTACCATGTTGAAGTCCCGCATTGGTAAGTTTTGATTCAAGTGGCTTTTGGGCTTGAACATTTAAGCTTTGGGTTCGGGCTTCAAGACGCTGGGCCAAAATCTCCCTACGTTTCATTAATGATATCAATAAATGTGCCTTTAGCCTATCAGTATGTCCCATTGTGAAAATTACCGCACAGCCGGTACGTCTGTCTATGCAATACTGTAAACACCCGAAAAACTAGAAACAGAGTTTGCCAGAAGGTCAACTTTAAGGACATACATCCCAAAAGTCTGGCTGGCGAAAAAAATGTGACAAAACACATTGGAAAGACTGAGACAAAACACATTGGAATCTCTTGGACCTTTGAAAATGCAGCGGCTCGTCCCATCAAATGCTTAAAACCCCGTTTGCTCCGTACCCAAGCGCGTACCCTCGGATAAGAAACCTTGCGTGATTTTGCCTTGGATGAAAAAATTCTGCTGTTGCAAAATGACACCCTACAGAAGAATCCAACACCTCGGCGTTAGTGTTTGGGGGGTTGAGGGTTAGCGAGTTTGTTTCACATGTCTTCGCAGAATTGAGCTACTGGAATTTCTCCTGAATATGCCAAGGCGCACGAAACTTGTCACCAGCCTTGTCCTCTGCAACAGTGTCAAAATGCCTGCATTGAAGGGCGGGGTGTCTAGGACTGTGTTCCCATAACAAAATGTAAAATATTCGTGGGGTCTTGATTCGGCTAGTGCACCTGGACCTGAAACCATCATACAAACCCCATCAAGTCGTTTGAAGACCAGTGCCGTGACAATTCGCAACCCTTCCTTTGGTTGCATCGTGCAATCCATTTGCTTCTGGAGCACGCTTGACCGGCAGCTGCTGTGAAAGCCGGGACGGATGTGACAAGCATCGCCATGATATACCCAGGTCTATGTACACTGCCACTCGCACGAAAAACAGAAAAAAAAAAAAAAAAAACGAAGGGCCCGCTGGGATTGCTGGCAGGCAATTAAGCAGGGGTGAGTTCATCATGCGGGCAATAACGCTGTGACGCGGGCAAACACCTTGCTGCCTCCAAAAAACCTGAAAATCTGAACCAAAACAGCGACTTGGATGTTTGGTTTTGGACAAGCTTCAGTTTTGTTGAATCAAGTTCTCTCCCAAACATTTATAAGGATTCGACCAAGCGTTACGCAATTGGTCATTTGCAACCAAAGTCAATAGAAGGCCATTGAGAGACCGACTAAAACCATTGGCAATTGGTGCGTCAAAGGCAACCCCTGTAAATCGAACAATTGGGTCAAACATGGTCAAACCCTTATTCCAACAACAGAGCCGCAAAGAGAAATTGCACAACGTGGTGGTGTTTCCGAAGGTGCTTTCCTTTGACAAGCGGAACATTGATACTCACGATGTTTCTCATGTAACCTGAACTAACGAGTCACAAAAACATTCCTAAGTTTCATGAAGACCTCCCGAGTCCCGCATCGGTTCCAAAAACGTTGTTTTTAAGCAGAGTGCCATGCCGTTGGCAGCCCCAAAAATCACATTGACTAAAAAACACTATTTGCTAGGCCTCCTTGAAAATGCACAAGCCATTTGCTTCAGGGGTCTTCAAAGTGATTCAACGGTTTGGTTGCTCTGACGATGAAATTAGGACAAGCGCTACATACTGGATATGTCTCCTAAAGCGTATCAGGAATCCAGGTTGCAACATTTCCTCTGACTATATGTTGGGAGTTTCGCGTAAAGTGAAAAAATTTCTCTTCCAATCTTATGGCAGCCCCAGTATAAGAAAAAAACTCTGCCGGACTCATTTGGCTCAAACGCTGTTGTATAAGTTCATTTCCTTGGATGCTCCTAAAGCATCATCAGATGACCCATGTTGAAACCTGATTTGCCTAGTTTCATTGGGCACCCACAGCTCAAACATGGTTTCCCCACTTGCCCCTGATGGGTGTTGCCTGAAACGACCCCGTTTTCTCTCCCTTAAATTCATATTTTCCACAAAGCTAAAAGAAAATTTTAGTCATCGAACTTCCATCTCAAATAGAAAGTTCCATTATCAAATATCTTACCAATCAAATCTCACACACTTGACAGCTCTGAGAGGAACTCCTTTTTGCGGCAAAGGGGAGTGGTCAAGTGCAATTGAGCGATGATCCGTTTGCAGAAGAAGGTTTCTGCGGATCTGCCTTATGATTTGCCATGCCATGGCGAACAGAAAGCAAGGGCTCACAAGCGAAAAGCAGGAAAGCTCTCCATACACTTGGCGTTGCACAGCCTGACCACGTCCGCTCCGCGGCCCGGAGACAGAGCATCTCCTGCGTTTGAAAAAAGGGAATCCGAGCATCGCTATCCTCCAACCTGCTGTACGCCCTTAGCAAATCACACGTGGTGCTGCTTGAAGGTTCTCCGCGTATGAGCCCGTAGCGGGCTGCCTCGTTGTCGATCCACCAAACTACCCTATCTCTGGGATAGCATTGGTTTGAGAAACTCGCTCAGGGCTACTATAAGGTACAACTTTGTGTGACAAACTAGATAGTCCCCTAGTTCCCGGCACCAGTAATCTACCTGCTGGCAAGGCACCACCCCTTGGAACACTCTGCCTCGGCCCTCACTCGTATCAAAAACCAGGGCACCTCCTCCTGCGATCAAGTTCTCCCATGAGCCATCTGTGAAGATGTGCACAACTGCTGTGGGCAGACTGCAGGGGATGACACGGAGGGAAGCACGTTCAGCAACTCTAACGCCTGCGCACACAAGGGGGAACACACATGCTTCAAGGTCCTACCACCATAGTACCCCGCAGCAAAACGAAGCAAGCCCAGGAGAACCTGGCCATGATGACGAGTCATGGCACCTGCTTGCATGACGCACCCCAACGAGTCGCTGAACTTCTCAACCCTCGACGGCTTGTTCGCCAGGGTCAAGTGGAGTTTTTCCAGCTCAGCACGGACCCCAAGTACGTCAAACGTAGGCCCAAACTGTTGTCCCCTGTCACCCTCTCCAGTCCTAACAAATTTCCACCCCAGCAAATCCAACAGCTCTGATATGCTCGTGTCAGCACTATCAGATGTCGAGGAAGGACTAAAGGCCGGAAAGTCGTCATAAAAGACCGCGCAAAGAACACTGATCATCCTATTGATGAGAAACCAAATAATACTGAGACCCTGTTGAAAGCGAAGGCCGCGGAGGAAATGTCGAATAACAAAGTGTTGCTTTGGAAGTACTTCATCTCCCCGCTCTCTGGAGCAATCACCGCCAAATCCTGGTGATCAGCTGAGATCCCCAACTGCTTGTAAGCTTTGGATACGTCGACACAGCGGCCTACCCATGTCTCTGCTTTCTCTCCCATGGCTTTGGAACGCCTGCCAAGTTCAAGGGCCATTGCCGCAAAGACGTCAACATCCCGCAAGCGCAGGCGGAGGGCATCATCCATGGGACAGTCCTTCTGCCCCTGAGTGATCAAAAACCTGCGTATATCAAGGCAATTCTCATGGCCAAAGGCAGCAGACCTCTGGGAGGCACTGAGGGGGCTTTGCAGTAAAACCGGCCTCCACCTCGGCCATAGTTAACTTCCGCAGCTTCCGTCTGTTTCAGGGTCACACCTTCCTGGCTTAGGACACGAGCTGAAGCCCTCAGGTCCTCCTCCGTAAGAGTGGGAAGTTCCACCTTGGCCTCAAAGCAAGAAGGGGCAGTCTGAGACGCCAACAAGAGGGATTCCCCGTTTCACCAGATCCACAACTTCCATGTCATCAAAGCCGTACTGCCCTAGCGCTTGCCCTTCAAGGCCACAGCAAGAGCAGGCGGCAAACTACGGTGAAGAGAGGCCTCGTCTTTCTCAAGAGATTTGGCCAACGAGGCGGCCTTCATCAACACAAGCTTCCTATCGATTCCATGATCACTGCTGGCAGGGCATTCCCTTTGTCCATTGGATGATCGAGGGAAATGACTTCTTGGAACTAGACCTCGGGTGATCTGAAGAAACCAACCCTAACCAAGGGGTCAACCCTGGGGACTACCTTATTTATAGTTCCAGCCATCCATATCAAATATCAAACACAAAGTCAGGACATATATTTATTCGCCACATCAAATATTGTCCAAATTTGTTCTCAATCAATTCAGGCAACTGACGTGCAAAGGCGCTCCCTTCTTTTTCATGATCACGGCGAACCGCGTACTTGGGGAAAGTACAAATCCACTCAGAGTGGACGGGGCTGAATCCACTAGGAGTGGAACACACGTTTGAGCTGCATACTCATCGCCACTGAGAGTGCCGGTACGCAGAAGTGCCCTCAGCACTGGCCCCCCCATTTCCCCCCCCGTTGGTCCCATTTTGGGTGTGGAGGGTGGGCAAAAATTTCTCTGTGCTCTTCAGGAGAGCACTACTGCTTGAGAATGTGCATGCACGGCATATCAGATTGCATGTGTGTTACATGTCACTGACTGCACATCACTCGGAAACTCAACATGGAAATTCATCATGGAGTTTTGGAAAACGATTTGCGCATGTTTCTCAGATCAGTAAACACAAAAACATTTGATATGGACACCCCAAAACATTTGCTGCCACGTTTTTGGGGTTGTGGCAAAGGAACTATAAAGCTTGATCGCACGCGAGTGTATGCTTATAGTTCCAGCCATCCATATCAAATATCAAGCACAAAGTCAGGAGATATATATATGGTTTTTTGGTACCTCCTCAGGTT